GTCCGGGGTAGGATGGTGGAAGACTGGGCCCTTGAGGCAGGCCTAGTCGTCTTGAACCGGGGTTCTGTCCTACGTGCGTGCGGATGCAGGGCGAGTCGGTGGTGGACATTTCGTTCGCCAGCCCTGCTCTGTCACCACGTATCGTTGACTGGCGTGTCATGGAGGAGGTGGAGACGTACTCCGACCACCGGTATATCCGGTTCAACGTCTCCGCCGAGTCCGCGGATCCGCCGGTCAGACAGGCCCCATGTGGCCCGCGTTGGGCGCTGAAACAGCTGGACCGGGAGCTGCTCCTGGAAGCCGCCATCGTGCAGGCCTGGGTGATACCACCGGTCAGGCCTGCCGACATTGACGATGAGGCCAAGTGGCTCCAGGACGCCATGTCCAGGATCTGTGACGTGGCGATGCCCCGGATCCGGTCGAGGCAACAAAAGCGCCAGGTGTACTGGTGGTCGCAAGAGCTGGCAGCTCTACGCAAGGCGTGCACTGCTGCGCGACGCCAGTACACTAGGCACCGCAGGCGCCGTCTCCGTCCTCCAAATGCGGAGGCGAGAGAGGCGGAGTTGTATGAGGGATACAGGGCGGCGAAAGCCGTCCTCAAGGCGGAGATATTGCGGGCCAAGGAGGAGGCCCGCCGGGAGATGCTGGGGACTCTGAATAGAGACCCGTGGGGACGCCCGTACCGCATGGTACGCGACAAGCTTCGCGCTTGGGCTCCCCCGCTCACTCAGAGTCTCCGGCCAGAGGTCGTTGAGGAGGTAATTGGCGCCCTGTTCCCCCGGCTGTGGAGGGGCTTCACCCCTCCGTATATGACTCCGCCCCCTGCGGTGCCCGACGCGGGCTATAGCGACGACGACGACGACATCGTCCCAGAGGTGACCGAGGCAGAACTGAGAGCGGCGGTGCGCCGGATGGGCGCCAAGAACACCGCCCCAGGACCCGACGGCTTGCATGGCAAAGCATGGGTCCTGGCCTCAGAGGCTCTCAGGCCTCGATTAATCGGTCTCTACAGCGCATGCTTGGAGAGAGGCCAGTTCCCGCTGCTCTGGAAAGCGGGAAAACTGGTCCTCGTGCGGAAGACGGGGCGCCCTGCGGACTCTCCGTCCGCGTACCGGCCCATAGTGCTGCTCGACGAGGTGGGGAAAGTCTTCGAAAGAATCATTTCGAACCGCCTCGTCGCGCACCTGACGGATATTGGGCCGGACCTATCGGACGGCCAGTTCGGCTTCCGCAGAGGGCGCTCCACGGTGGACGCCATCATGCGCGTTAGGGACCGGACGACGGGGACTGCAGTGTCCAGGGGTAAGGTCGTAGTGGCGGTGTCTCTGGACATCGCCAACGCCTTCAACTCCCTGCCCTGGAGCTGCATCTTGGAGGCACTCCGATATCATCGGGTGCCTACCTACCTCCGTCGTGTAATCGAGGCATACCTGACGGACAGGTCCGTCATCTACCCCGGTCACCGGGGCGAGTGGAACCGGCGAGAGATGTCACGCGGTGTTCCACAGGGTTCGGTTCTGGGGCCGCTCCTGTGGAACATCGGTTATGACTGGGTGCTGCGCACCGACCTCCCGAACGGCGTTAGCATGATATGCTACGCCGACGACACGCTGGTGCTAGCGCACGGGAGGTCGCACCAGGCGGCGGCCGATTTAATGGCGACAGCGGTTGCGACAGTCGTTGAGAGAATCCGGCAGTTGGGACTCGAGGTGGCGCTCCACAAGTCCGAGGCCATGTGTTTTCATGGCCGCGGGAATGCGCCACCTCCTGGTGGGTCTCAAATAATGGCGGGAGGGGTTACCATCGGCGTCGAGACAGCGATGAAGTACCTGGGACTCGTCCTCGACAGTCGATGGAACTTCGTGGAGCACTTCCGACGTTTGGCTCCAAAGTTGGCGAGGGTGGGGGCTGCGTTTAAGCGCATCCTCCCCAACCTCGGGGGTCCAAACGCCTCCTGCCGGAGGTTATACGCCGGGGTCGTGCGGTCCATGGCCCTCTACGGCGCCCCTGTTTGGGCGCCGAACCTGCTGCAGCGGCCCGCTCGGGCGCTGCTTATGGCACAGAGGGTCATGGCGATCCGAATGATCCGCGGATACCGCACGATCTCTGGGGAGTCGGCGAACCTCCTTGCCGGATTACCGCCGTGGGATCTGGAGGCGAAGGTGCTCGCGCGCGTGTATCGCATGCGCGTGGAGGCACGTCGCCGGGGCGAAACTCCGCTGCCGCGCCAGAATAAGTGCGTGGCGGGATGAGCTCCGGCGCGATCTCATGGCGGAATGGCAGCAACGACTGTCGCAACCGAGGGCTGGGCTCGCTGCCATTGCAGCGGTAAGTCCCCTCTTTGAGGAGTGGCTTGAGAGACGCTACGGCGTCCTCACCTACCGCCTGACGCAGGTCCTCACCGGACATGGAAGTTTCGGGAGGTACCTGTGTCTGATGGGGCGGGAGGAAACGCCCGGGTGTCATCACTGCGAGGACCACCCTGAGGACACGGTGGAACACACTGTTGCGGAATGCCCTGCGTGGGCTGAGCACCGCCGTGCCCTCAGGAAGTGATCGGCGATGGAGACCTCTCGCGTCCAGGCCTAGTTCAGGCCATGATGCGGAGCGAGGGGGACTGGGATGCCGTCTCCTCCTTTTGCGAAGCAGTCATGCTGGCTAAGGAGGAGGCGGGACGCGTGAGGCAGCGAAGCGCTGCCTCCTCGCAACCCAGCCATCGCGAAGGACACACCGGGCGTCGGGGATCGCGGGACGATCTCCGGCCACCGTAAGCGCGGGCCTGCGGACGGCGAGCATGGGTGGCTCCCCGTCCGACCAGAAACAGACCCGAGCGTACGGCGCGTCGCGTTCCGCGCGCGCCTCAAAGAGCCATCAGACCACCACAGATGGGGCCCAATAGGGCCGATGCCGATTCGGAGTCGCGGAGAACCTGACGGGTAACCGGGGCTCCGGCTCGACGTGCAGGAGAAGGAACGGGGTGGTTTTTAGTCAGTAAGAGTCTGACACTCCCTTCCGCCTCACCCAGGCGGGAGCAGTCATTCGATGATTTTCCCCCCTTAAAAAAAAAAAAAAAAAAAAAAAAAAAAAAAAAAAAAAAAAAGACCTCGGCTAAAACAAAAGAGCATCGCTTCATATTACTCCACCGTGCTTCTGTACTCTTGATCATCGGTTCGCGTCTAATATGCGAAGTGGAGTGCACTTTATCTTGCTTTGAAGTAAAAACTAGGGATGGGAGTTTTTTACCTCGTTTGCGAATAGAAATTACAATCCTATTTATTTGATTACCGAACTTCTCCTAGTTTTTATAGTTCCCTGAATTTTAAAAGAGGTATCTGAGTGACTGCCTCGCTGGCCGAGTGGTCGCAAATGCGACTGCCGGGCAAGGGGTCTCGGGTTCGATTCCCAGGTCGAGTATTACTGGGTTTTCAAAAAATTCTCAGTAGTAGCACGGAGTCCGGAATTGTGCCCGGTATATGGCAGTAAGCTCACCCCCTATTACATGGGACTCGTAACATAAATAGTGAAAAGTGGGTGTTACATTGTACAGTGGCATAATGTGCACCTCTGGCTTCCCCTTCGGAGATAAGAGGCGTGATGTTATGTTGTTATCTCTGAGTGTGTTGGTGTGCCTTCTTAATGTAGTCAGTTTGTATAGTCACGATCGAAAAACATACGATGATTTTCAACTAGCACACAGATGAAGACAGTGGTAGGCAATTTTTTACATAAATTTTGTCTTTCTGCAGTCCCACCGTATCGTCATAAAACCATAATAACTAAGATGTATACTATAAAACTAGTTCAATTTAAATATTAACAACAATAATACACAAGTTCCAAATTCGAATTAACTTCATACTTAGTGGAACCCGTACACATTTTGAATCACACGATTTCAATTTAAAAATCGATTGCAACGTAAACTCTCGTAAATATCGAATCTTCTCATCACTAAAACGCGGTGTATCCGCAAATGCCATGATGTTACGTGCAAAAAATCACGTTTTTAACTTTCAAGCAAGACTTGCTTTGAACTTTTGAATTATAGCGCCATTTGCGGCGATGTCTGAATGATTTGTTGGAATTTTTCGTTGAAAAATGTATTAGTTGCTATTTGATTTATGGTTGCATTTCGCGTGTTTGCGTTGTAGTCTGGAATGAGTGTAGGTATTAATAGGAATTTCAAACATTATCATAATAGTATAGGTATAAGCAAATAAGTTGTTTTTTAAATAAAAATTTCCGACTCATTTTTAGAACTTCCAAAAAATTAACAAATACTAATAATGCTTTGTCCAATCCGGAAATCGAATCCAAAACTTTTTACTCCGCCGTCACTAAAAGAAAATAAATTAATAAAAAATATTAAATTCTAGTTCAAATTAATAAATTTTATTTATTTATTTAACAAAAGTACAATTTTAGGAATAACATTTTGTTCTTATAATTAAAGATCCTCGCCAAACATATCGTTTAACGGCGAAATAAGCATAATGTAAGAAAGTAAATGTAAGAAAAAATAAGTATCAATGTCTTAATAGATAGCATTAAGGAAATTATATTTTAAATAATAGTAAAATATTAAATGAAGTTTGAATTTATGATCATTAGCCGTTTAATTATCGCTCTCACACTGACGGTAACAACTTGCTCGCTGTAATTAATCTAAACTTCATTAAACACTCGTTTGTTACGACGACTATTTGTCATTTTTATTTTTTAATATAATATTTTGTTTAATGGCTGTAGATTTATTTTGTTGTAACAATTCTGTACTGATAAAACTAATGTAAAGTTGAAACATTGAAAAATTATAGAATTGATAATGTTAACATATTGTGGTCGACATTTATTATTATTAATTTATTATAATTACCCTGTAGAAATCATATCAAAATCAAATCACATAAATAAAAATCATCATTATTAACATTATCTTTGTTTTGTTCCAGATTACCGAAAGATGACCATCAAGGACGGCGTACAAAATGTGACCTAGCATGGTCTTTGACATGAATAACCTGACATTCCTGGAGTCAGCGTTTCAAGAGTTTCAATGTCATCTGACCCAAGGGCCAGGGTGTGGGGAGTCACACTCAGGACTCGACTGCTCCACAGACGATACCTTCATCAATTACACCTGTGAACTAAACATAGATATACAGAATGAAACCTCATACTCTTGTACTTCGTGTAATACTACAAATGCTAATAGCAACCACACTATGTGCAGCCCTTACCTTAAGCTAAACATGATCACCATCATCTTCGAAAGTGCACTCAAGAATCTCTGGCTCCGACTCCCCAATTTCTTCTGTGATCTTGACACCCTATTTTGCTACACGGAAACAAAAAATCGGACGTTGTACATTGACGTTCTAAACGACACTCCAGTTTTAGGTGTAGTTGAAAGTTTTCAATGTAGTTATGACTTTAGGAATGTGACCGAAACAGTAGTGGATAAAGTGGGTTATGATTGGAGTTTTCTATTTGTGATAGTATTTATAATAGCCGGTGGTGTGGGTAATATATTGGTGTGTTTAGCTGTGTGTCTAGATAAGAGACTGCAAAATGTTACGAATTATTTTCTTCTGTCGCTGGCGATCGCTGATCTCTTGGTCAGCCTGTTTGTAATGCCGATGGGAGCAATTCCTGGATTTTTAGGTAAGTTGCATTCTTTTTTATAGATTATATAAATAATACCCATATATATGCCATTGTATTAGCCGCGGAGGACTTAACGGGTTGCTGGGGCTCCGGCTCGAAGTGCAGGAGTAGGAACGGGGTGGTTTTTAGTCAGTAAGAGTCTGTCACTCCCTCCCACCTCACCCAGGCGGGAAAAGCCATTCGATGATTTTCCCCCCTTAATAAGAAGTCATTGTATTTTCAAAACTTTCATTTAATTGTCCATTACCTATTATGTGAATATTGTAATTAGTAACCCAATGATTCACTGAGGGCCAAACACCTCACAACGCGTATATAAGAAAATACATGCAGTATTTTCTGAGAGTATTGGCCGAGTAGTCGCAAGTGCGACTGCTGCGCAAGGGGTTTCGGGTTCGATTCCCGGGTCCAGCAAAATATTACTGGCAATAAGCTCACCCCCTATTACATGAGACTCATAATATAAATAGTGAAAAGTAGGTGTTACGTTGTGGTATTAAGAACCGTAATGTTATCTTCTGCCTATCCTATATACAACTTAAAGTAGTAGGTAATATATCACAAAAATTCATAAACCTTATAACGTTTGCTATACCATCTCACATCACATGATCACAGTTTCAGTTACGTTTTCCTTAACACACATATCACTCAACCAGACTACCTTAAAAGGCCCCCAGGAAATACATGAAAACTGCATCAGTTCGCAGAGGTACTTGCATAAAGAATATCTATTTTCACAGAAAGGCTACCTACATATTCCATTCGAAAGGTGTTGTAAAGCATTACAAATTGTACCTATTTCCATAACGCAAGCCTTTTATGAGAGGAAGTTCAACCAATTTGTGTGAACGCTGCCGACTGTAGGTATCTAATGTAAACTGATGTGACATACGGAACTGGTGAATGAGAAAGTTACATGGAAAAATCCTTGTATTAGTAAATCCCTTTATATCAAACTAGCTTCCACGCGGTTTTACACGCTCTACTCAGCTCCTATTGGCCGTAGTGTGAGGTCTTATAGCGTATAGCTATTCTCGATAAATGCGCTATCCAACACAAAAAGAATTATTCAAATCAGACTTGTAGTTACGAAGATTAGCGCGTTCAAACAAACAACCAAACTCTTCCGCTTTATACATGTAATAGTATAAGAGTATAAGATATAAGACTAGCAGCCCGTCCCGGCTTCGCACGGGGTAGACAATTATTTTTTTTTTTGGAAATTTGGATTGTTGTAGTGACATAACTACAATAGTTGGACATATGCTACCACGGAGTTTTTTATGCTATCGCCATATACCAGGCACAATTCCAGACTCCATGCTACTACTGAAAATATTTAAAAAACCCAGTAATACTTTGCCTGACCCAGGAATCGAACCCGAGACCTCTTGCTCGGCAGTCGCACTTACGACCACTCGGTCAACGAGGCAGTCACAGTTCACAGTAAAAATGTTCACAAATTCCACAGTCCGTATGTAACACAACAAGGGACATAAAATCATATTCTCAACATCAGTTCCTTTGAATTTGGCATATTCGTCAGCAGGAAGCAATCTTCTGCTTATAGTTGTATGGAAATTCGTAGGAAATGATCGAATAGTAAAAAAGTTATGACTGCCATCTTGGAATCCAATTTAAGGTGACTGTAAATATATTGCGCACCCCTCCACGAAAATACATCAAGTCTAAGTTGATTTGAGCTGGCACGAGTACATCGAGTGACTGTTATTTCGAAATAAATTAGGTACGGGTGAGAACACCTCTGCTTTTACTTATGTTATAGTTTTGTGTTCTTCAAGCTTCACGTATTTTTTAAAGTTGACAAAGAACTCATTTTCTGACCGTTTAATTAACATTTATTTTATATTCTTAGAACGGAAATGGTTTAAAGATTTAAAAAAACTACTGTTACAACATAACCTAGCTTTATTTTAAAAACAAACTATACGAAAGATTTCAATCAGCACAGAATAGCAATACTACATCACATTAATTAAAATTAACACAACAATGAACAGTTGAGAATAAAAAGGACTTCCCAAAAATGGCTCACGTGTCTCTAAAATGTAAATCTCATGTGTAAAATACAATGACGTAGTGTCCTAGGTATTGTCACTCCAAACGCTGACCGGTCAAATGGACGATGGTCGCATGGTCGGGTTGCGCGTTGTATTTATAGTAGGGAAGCTGTCACAACCTGCACTGAACAAGCGTGGTGGTTAATGCCCAAACCATATCCGTGCGAGAAAAGGCCTTTGATCAGCAGTAGCCACTTATAGGCTATTGATGATGGTAATATAAACAAGCATTGGTTAAGCATTGTGTCTTAATGTTTTTGGAAAAACACCACACTATACTTTTTAAGGGGGGAAAATCATCGAATGACTGCTCCCGCCTGGGTGAGGCGGAAGGCAGTGTCAGACTCTTACTGACTAAAAACCACTCCGTTCCTTCTCCTGCACGTCGAGCCGGAGCCCCGGTTACCCGTTAGGTTCTCCGCGACTCCGAATCGGCATCGGGCCTATTGGGCCCCATCTGTGGTGGTCTGATGGCTAATACCCTAGTATAGGGTGATGCCGCGGAGAACCTAACGGGTTGCAGGGACTCCGGCTCGAAGCGCAGGAGAAGGAACGGGGTGGTTTTTAGTCAGTAAGAGTCTGACACTCCCTCCCGCCTCACCGAGGCGGAAGAAGGCATTCGAGAATTTTCCCCCCTTAAAAAAGTATAGTGTGATGTTTTTCCAAAAACATTAAGACACAATGCTTAACCAATGCTTGTTTATATCATCATCAACATCAATAGCCTATAAGTGCCCACTGCTGACCAAAGGCTTTTTCTCGCTCGGATAAGGTTTGACCATTAATCGCCACGCTTGCTCAGTGCAGGTTGGCAATTGCAAACAAACAAAAAAAATTGAAACTGTAAGTCCACGTTTCATCACGATGCTTTTCCTTCACCGTTTTCTGAATCCGACATATACCTCTAATATAGCTATTAATGTTTTGTTTCTATTCAGGTTATTGGCCGCTGGGCGTGGTGTGGTGCAATGTGTACGTCACGTGCGACGTGCTGGCGTGCTCGGCTAGCATCATGCACATGTGCTTCATCAGCATCGGCAGGTATGTGGTATTTTTGATAACTTATTACAAATACTCAATTTTAATGTAAGAGTTCCATGGATTTTCTTGACCAGAGTTATACAACGGCCTCATAAAAACCGGCGTGAAAATACACTTATGTTGTTGTTTAGCTATGTGAGTGAAGTTTCCGAATCCCTCATTTACTCGTTAATAGGCCTGCAATGTACTTGTACCTTCTTTGGTGTTGTGGTTTTATGAGTGGTGCCAATTTTTTATCATCAACTTACCTTTTATCCAGATTTTTAAGAGTTTTCTAGTATTTGAAATATACGAAATCTGTATCTTATAAATAAGACTGTAATTTTTTGTAAACTAGCTTTTTATCTTTTACTTCACTATCGTAAGGTATTATATATTAAAAATATACTAAGATATTAATCTCTACTAGTTTTCTCAGTATAATTAAGTGAGTAACTCGTAATTATTATACATATTACATCTATATATATTAAGAAACAACCCGTGACACGATGTCACATAGACCTGACCTAACTCAATTTAATTATAACATAATCTCCTTAAACCAAACGTTCAAGGTTTACATATGAAAGGAAATCTAATAATAAAGAAACGTTTTTAATTTAAATCTCTTCCACATGTCTGACTTTAACTTTGATCATGTACTGTGAGCACACCAAAATAATTTACTTGTTTAATCAAATTAAAATGTTGATGACGTCATGCCTTTTTCGTTAATCATATTTTTCCGGGAACACGTGTGTCAAAACATCAATTCGGTTTAAAAAAATGTGTTTTCATGAAGGTGTTAACAAAACAATAATGTAGATAATAATAAGGTATAATTAAACAGGTTTTTTATGAAATAAAGTCAAAGTCAAAGCATTTATTTCAATTAAACTATAGTTTGGTACTTTCGAAACGTCAACAAATACAAAATAAATAATAGTCTCTCAGTCAGTCCGTCAGTGAAACTAGGTGAAGCTAGGTGCTCATTCCAAAAAGTAGATTCGAATGGAGAAGAACGAGCAAGAAACTCCATTAAGACTATATGATTGCGCGTCTTCAATTTCCACACGGTAGTTTCTTTGTACTGCACAAAAAACGCAATAATTATCGGTTCAGAATGGGATGTATGCGTAATCATCACTACATTGTATAAAACAAAGTCTACCCGCCGTCTGTCTGTCCCTATGTATGCTTAGATCTTTAAAACTACGCAACGGATTTTGATGCGTTTTTTTATAATAGATAGAGTGATTCTTAAGGAAGGTTTATATGTATAACACATGCATATTGCACCCGTGCGAAGCCGGGGCGGGTCGCTAATAAGGTATAATTAAACAGGTTTCTTTATGAAATAAGATTATATGGTTGGTGCGGGGGCTAAGCAACGGACTGCTGCGCAACCTATCGCGTCTTCAATTTCCACATGGATCTGTTTCTTAGTGCACAAAAAATTATCGGTTCAGAATGGGATGTATGCGTAATGTGATTATAAACGCATCTACGATTCATGTTAAAGTCTCAGCGTGAGGCCACATTTTTATATGAAAAAAGAAAACACCCTTCATCCAAAAAAATATATTCAAAATATCAGTCTATAGCTAAACATAAAGTTATGTAATAAGTGTATCAGTATTTTTTGACTCGTTAGTCGAGTGGTGGTCGCAGGTGCGACTGCCGGGCAAGGGGTCTCGGGTTAGATTCTCGGGTCGGGCAAAGTATTCTGAGTTTTTTAAATATTCTCAGTAGTATCATGGAGTCTGGAATTATGCCTGGTATATGGCAATAGGCTCATCCCCTATTACATGGGACTTATATCTAAATAGTAAATAGTGGGTGTCATATTGTACAATGGCATTAAGTAGTAATGTGCACCGCACCCCTTCGGGGATAAAAGGCGTACGTGGATATTGAAATACTGATACATATTGTTATATATGTATTAGTATTTCAATATCCACCAAAGCGAACGGACGAAAATTTTATAGAGGCCATCACACTTTGATCGTAAGCACTGAACTCCAAAACTCGACTTTACGAGTTTATGCGAAACTGACCCTTACGTTCTTGAGCACATCCATACAATATAGTTATCGGATCCTAGAATCAATATACATAAAATTGAATACATCGCTTTGTCGTACACAAGTATCGCTTTGTCTCCGTTTTGTGAAGCGTGAATTTGAGAATATTGTCCTGGAATTATTAATGGGTTATGGACAGAAGCTAATGCTTTATTGAACACGTTTTAGCTTTATGGTAGGCATTCAGATGGGCCTTATGATAGGTGTAGATAAGACAGGGCTTGGAACTGCTTTTAGTGTAATAGCATTATTATATTAGCACCTGTGTTCTTTAGAGTTATCGATAGACGGTTCGTTACCAAAAATTGCAGTATGATCAATAGAAGACAATAGACAGACGTTACCCTTTTACTATAATTGAACTCAGAGACAGAACTTGAAATGTGGGAGAACCATGCTTCGGCACGAATGGGGCGGCTCGACCGAAGCTATGCCACGACCTCACAGAAAACCGACGTGAAACAACGTTTGCGTTGTGTTTCGTCGTGTGAGTGAGGTTACCGGAGGCTCGATTATAATATATTTTACAAACCTTAAATCAAAATAAACGAATAAAGTAATGAGTGCTACTAAATCACTCACTAAACAGCAATTCTTTAAATCCCACAAGCGACCCGCCCTGGCTTCGCAATATTCCGGTGCAATATGCATATATTATACACATAAAGCTTGCTTAAGAATTACTCTATCTATTATAAAAAACTGCGTCAAAATCTATAGAGAAGTTTAAAAGATATAAGCATACATAGGAACAGACAGACGGCGGATAGCGACTTTGTTTTATACTATGTAGAAGATAAAACCCATAATTACCTAGTAGATTTAACAACCACTACACTTTTTGATGAAGAATCTACAATATTTAAGTAACATAATATGCTCAAGGTCACAACTTGACCCAAAAGCCGCAGTCTCTACTTAGCCATAAGCTCCTTTGAGACTTATCTACTTATCGATAAAGTAAAAAATATTTCAAATATATAAGAGAGACATTGATATATTGGACTTTTATATAGCCAGCAAATGACTGCAACTTATGAAGCATTATTATATTTGTAGAAATTTTTTGTCGTAATTTATACATAATATTATGTTTGCTGATAAAACCTTTTCACAAGAAGTCATTGATTTTTATAATAACTTTTTAATTCAAATTGTATGCTAATCATCCCTTAGCTTAGCAATTATTTTCATGCAAGTTTACCTGTATTGACATTGACACATTAAATGCTATAGATAGAGGTCACCAGTGACCAATGTTAGCAGAAGATTTGCCTTCAACAGTTTTATATTGACAGTCTCAACTTAAAATCAAAGACTTAACTGAATATCGCGGGTTACTCACGTAAGAATACTGAGAAAAGCTCTACTAATTTCGGACCACAGAGGGTTCTTCTCTCGGTTTTTCCTCATATGCAGCTTGCGTGGTCGCGAACTACTGGCGCAAGCTATTGGCCTACTAGCCAGTAGCCTCCCAGGTCTAATAACTAAAAATTATGAGTAACGTACGAAGAGCTTTTCTCAGTATATTTACTTGAGTAAGTCGTAATTTTTAGTCAAAGACTTGAGATTATTAATATTAAGCTCTGGACTATCCATAGCAAACATAACTATTATTGAGTATTACTGACTGGCTACATATCAAGCGGAACCCTAAAAAAGGGGTTTCACAAAGCTTTATTTTGTTTAAGACTCGATTCAAAGATAAGTAACGTAAATCTTAGCTGGGACGTGGTTTTTTACAAAAATTGTATTTTCCCAAATCGTTTCAGTATTTAGTATGTGTAATTGTATTTTAAATGTCCATTTACTTATCTTTTGTTATATATGTAATATGTTCTGTGTGTATATAGATATCATAGATTTTTTCCAAAATAATAGGCTCATTTGATTACACAATGTCATTGCTCACCAATTGTGCTATGAATAAGCATATAGCGGAGTGAGCTTACTGTCAAACACCACACAATTCAGACTTTGAAAAAAACTGAAAACTTAAGAATAAACTGCAAAATCTCTAATATCATACCTCTTGGGAGACATATTTATTTATTTTCAGCAATGATCGTTCCACTGCAGGTCAAAGGCCTTCCTACCCTTCTTCCACTCCTCTCTATGTACAACTTTTTGCGGCCAATCCTTATTGACAAAAAGACATATTAACTTAATTATTATTGTTTCGACTTAATCACGTAACTGTTTGACTAGAAACTTGACTAGTTTTAATCCATTCTAGAGGCTCATATTTATGAGTGGCTTCCGCGGCACACGACGTGGCGACTGCCGATAAATAACTAATCTGTAATATCACTATGTCCAACCCAAAACAGAGGTCCTTTCTGCCAATCGGGGATAATTTTTTTTTTTTAAATAAACTTTGCCCCACACTAGGATTTTCTCCTGTGTCGTGGGTGCGTTTACAAACATACAAGTTCACATACACATCACACCCAGACCCGAAACAACAATTTGTGGATCACACAAAGAGTTGCTTCGTGCGGGAATCGAACCCGCTACACGTTGCGCGGCAGCCGGTTGCCCAGCCACTGCGCCAACCGTGCAGTCAAAATGCAGTGAATGAGATGATGATAATTAATATTCCAAATATACACTACCTCCTATGCTACCTGCATAGGAGGTAGTGTCCATCATCAATCAACCATATCCATCAATCTTCATTTCATAGCCACTGTGAAAAAGCGCAAATTCCTTTCACTATCAAAAAGTTTTTATCGCGTGTGTATAACAGCGAATGGTTGGAGTTTTTGGTTTTCCTTTGTTCCATGAACGTGATTCATAGCGCAATAAATGCTTTGTCGAACAAACAGTTAGTGTGGACTCTTCTATTAGACAAACAATCGTTGGGTCATTATCGTGTGGATTGATATTGAAGTGTATCACGTCGTGTGTCTGATATTGTGTAGTGAGATA